CAGGATCGAAATTTTTGCGTTGCTATAGTTTGTGCTGATTAAATTTAGTAATTTCAAGTAGATTAATTGTTATAAGTGAATATAATTAATTAATAACAGTTAAATAAAGTATGAATTACTGTTATAATATACAATTTAGGAAAAAAAAGTACCGTAGAATTAAATAAAATTTTGCAACCTCAAAATACCGTTCTGCTTACAGTAAACACAGTCGGTAGTCTGGCGCTCCGTTGACAACGGATTTGAACGGAACTTGGCGCCAGATTCTACCGAATCTGTGGATTCATACTATACATTCTGTTATACCGACTGCAAAACAAGATGTTTACAAACGATCCTAGTTTCTTAGTCAACATTAGAAATAAATTCAAATTAAAAAACTCTTTACACAAACAGCTATTTAAATAATTAATAACTTAATTCTCACTATCTAAATAAACATTTAACCGACTCAATAATGTCACAGTAAGAAGAACTCAAACTTGGAAACAAGGATTTTTCAACATAACTCCGACATTTTTTGGAATAACTTTCAAACAGCTCTACCGATCAATTCCAAAAACTTATCAGCTCTTAACATCAAAAAACCACGTCGATCGCCGCCGGTCTGGTCAAAATCGGTTCATTCATTTGTAAGTTATCATTGACGAAAGAAAACCGAAAAAAGTGTTTTTTCAGAATTACTCCGAAATTCGTGGTTCGATTAAACTAAACTTACAGATTCTTTATGGGGCTTAAAAAATTGCGTTGAATGCTACCAACCGCGTAAAAATCGATTCATTTAATCAAAAGTTATTGCAGTTTGAAAATTTGAAAAATTGTGTTTTATCAAACTTCTATCAGACTTTTGAGCTCAGAGAGCTCAAAATAACACATAAATTGTATTTTTGACCTCAGAGATCTCAAAAACATTATTAGTGCAATTTTAAGCACCTAGGTATGAAATTAGCGAGAAGTTGCACGGATGGCCTTCAAGGTCTACAGTTTTTCTAATTTTTTTTTCAAACTTCGGATGATAAGTTAAATAATTTTTACATCTTGAAGAAATTTTGAATCTTGCATAACTTTTCGAAAAAAATTTCAAAAATTTTTTCCTTTGGCTCAACTTTGTTTTATGATAAAAGCAAACTTGTGACCGAATTTCATTCAAATCGGAAGGGGTCGATTCTAACTAATGATCGATTTGACATGGAATGACTCAAATTTAAAATGAATTTGTCATGTAGTTTTAAAATTGTATTAAACTCAGACTTTTCCCAAAGGCGCTCCGAGGAAAGTTCTGTCACCGGCTTGTTTGTGAATATTTTAGTATACAAATTTTACAGAATATTCTTAAAACCATACTTAATAATGTACAAAAGATTTTAACAAATTTACTCATACCGTTTTTTCAAAGAAAATTTAAAAAAAAACTGTATTTTTTTTCGCTGACCCCCCCCCCTCTTCCCCTTAATGAATTAATTTTGATTCTATGTAATGAAAAGAGCTTAAATCTTGACTTGTATTTTATGAAATTTTACAAAACAGAAAATTTCGTAAAAAACCAAAATTTCAATTCCTTTATATGATTTACAACAATTAAGTAAATTTTAAATTTTTCGATTAATGATATTAACAGAATGCGGCCGATCTTAACCCTTTAGAGTCAGAGGATCTTGAAACATCTTCGCGTGAGAGTAGTGGAGAGAGCACAAATCCATAGTAAGACCCAAGAGTGGGGTTTCAAGGTCAGACTCTAAAGGGTTAAAATTAAAATGGTGATAAATTCCATTCATATCGTATGTGTAGTGAATAGTAGTAGATGTCTAGTTGCACTTAAAGTATAGAAATACTGATCTTTTTTAAGTGTTATTAGCTCTGATTTAAAAAAAGTATTGAACCTATGCAACTGTATATCTATATTGTATGTATATACAGATATACAGTGTGTGTAATTCAATACTTTTTCAATACTTTTCAATACTTTTTTTTAATCAGGGAGGTTTAAAGTCTACGTCTACGATATCGGTAAATGTAATATTCATTATTCTGTTTAATTTGCGTTGGAATTATTCAGGTAAAAGCAAAAAAATTGTCTATGGCAGCAAATCTAAAGATTTGTAGAACTCATGAAGGCTAATTCAACTTTCTTTTTTATTTGAAATATACTGCAAAATATGCAGTTGTGAATATAATTATGACCGCTGGAATCAATTCAAAAATAGTATAGGTGTCTATTAAGAAGAGCCTGCTGGATGTTTATACATAGATTTAAGGTTTGGGATAGTATAGTAAAAATACGGTGGAAAAGTACGCTCAACACCAATATGAGCAAGTTTGTATTAATTGCTGCACAAAATTCAATAAAGAAAATTAATGTTCAATATTTTACAAATAAAATTTAAAATTTTAATAAGCAATTAGATATTCTTAATTTTAAAAAATGGTTATTATTTACAACTGGGATCAATCCCATTTTGGGCCATAACTAGGTAAAAAATTAATATTTTTTTATTTTTTTTTATTCTGCTTTTTTTTACGGCGCATTTATGATAAAAATGTCGTGAAAGGAAAAAATAAAGATTTCCATAGCTTTTTTGCTTTGAAAAGTTGGAAAAAATTTTTGCTCATGTTTTTGGATAAAATTTATATTTAGTTATTTTTTGATATATTTTTTTTTTTGTTTTTTTTTTAAAGTATCTACAAAAAGGAACATTTACAAAAAAAAATTGATGAATTTGATCAAAAAAAAAAAGTTAACATGGTCCAGCAAAGGTTGACCGCACTTGTAAATAACTACCTAAAGAATAAAGAGCAATTTATTAATAGTATATATTTCTTTAAATTAAATTAGGATATAGTGCCGGAAATATTGGATGAATTAACGGACGAGGAGTTAAAAAAAGAGGCGAAAAACGAATCGAAAAATGACGCTATTGTTAGTTATTATCCTCACTGTAACCCAACGCTCGAGCATGAGGAGTGGTTAATCGCAGAGCGTATGGCCAAGTGGATAAATGACAATGACGTATTGGAAACGATATTACGGGAGTCATCGCACCAGCCGCAGTACCTCGAGAAGATCGCAGCAACATCCCCAGCTCGCCGGACGGCAGCTCAGACAGCTCAACAAGTTCGCCACACCATCCTTACGACGATCCTAATATCGAGGCCGCAAACAGCTTACCAGGGGTCGTGATGTCCCAACGACTACACTACGTCACCTTTTTCTTTCAGCTAGCAAACCTGAGGTGCACTTTGAAGCACTCGCACCTTCGAGACGCGGCGCGTAACCTCCTGGAGCTGATCCTACCACACTCTCACGGTAGCTCGATTGCAGTGGCTCTTTGGCCATTAGAAGGAAGAGGAGGGCGCCGTTAACCAGTACTGCAACGAACAACACACCAGTATGGACATTCTATTTTTCGGAGCGAGACTCAGCCAAGTTTTGTACAACCTCGAGGCCTTGTACCCGTTGCTGATGCCAGCACTGGATCCCACATCCGAGAAGACCTCTGAATTTCAGTACAATTTTATAAAAACTGGAGAAGCTGGCGTTATCGTGGACATGCTGACTAAAATTAAATTTCTACCGAACGCCGAAGAGACAACTAATCGCTATTTGACTGTTTTAAAACTCTGTAAATTGTTGTTGACTGTCGGAAATGTTGTGGCTTGTGTGCTGGATGACATGCAGCAGTCAAAGCGCTGCAAAATGTTTCCAATCGAAACACCGAATACATGTTACGTAGCGTTGCGACAGAGTTGACTTAACATAAGGTGAACCAGATGTTTCCAGGCGGTACCGAGTCTGACCGTTGCTGTCAAATGTTTATGTAAACTGTCAATTTCGAATTGCCAGTCATGCTGACAATACGTGCCATATTAAAGATCGCCTGGGCCGCTTCAACCGATAACCTCAACAACGTCGATGTACTTCACACGATGCATGAAGCTAATCAGCGGGACCCACGGTTAATAGAAGCCAATGAAATTTTAAGATAAAAAAAAATTAAAAATTACTTTTTTTTAAAGCGTGCTTTTCTTATTGAAGCTGCTAAGAAATTTGAAGTTCACGAGCTGTTTCAAAAGACTTGAATTAACTTTTTTTTTTAATAATTAATTAATTCTTCATATTTCTGACAGCGATTTATTTTTTTTTTAATTTTAATAATTAAACATTTTTTTAATTTTATAACTAAATAATACGCTCGATGTATTAAATTGTATTATTTAAATTGATAAAATCAAAAATTATATTTATTATAGTAACTAGCTACCTTGCAGTCACTATGTGACTGCCGTGATTTGTGAACTATAAATGAATAAAATTTTGCTCTATTAAATAATTAATTTTATTAAATTACACGGTACTTTTTAAGCTGTTGGCATTTTTAAAGATATTAGCTCATCCCGATATTACACTCATTAAGAACTTTAATTGGAGTACCCACATGCGTTTTGATATATTTTTCATATACACACACATACATACATACCCATGATATCTGTGAGAAATTTTTAAAAGTCCAAGGTATTACAGTTTCAACATTTAGTACATTCAATAAAATGATATTGATTAAAAATTTTATTAAGGTAGTACTGTGAGCCGTAAAGTTATTGGTCATAATTTAATGAAATTTAGTACTTTATCAGAACATAACAAAGTAATAATCACATTAAATTTTTCAACTACAGAGACTTGATTAAAATAAGAAAAATTTTGCGATTAATATCGACTCTTTCAAAAAATCACAGTTCTTTTATTTCTCAAAAGTAACGATCAGATTTTTTAAGAAATCGAAAAATGAAAGAAAATACCTGATTTAATATTTCGTATACTTAAAATTAGAGATTGGGAGCATGTAAGAGAAATAATAAATAGAAAAAAAGGATGAAAAATAACCTCTGACTCTTTTCTTTTAATGTAATTTTGCATAGGTCAGTCTATTACGTAAATAAAATGAGATTTTGCATTTAATATTTGACTCATGCAGCGTATACACTACTACCTTCAATAATTATATTATATTTTTAAAATGTAATACAAAGTGAACCTCATAATTCGAAGAGTATTGAAGTATGTCTTTCTCAGAATCATAAAGAGTTTGAATATCATTTAAATTATCTGGCAATAATGCATCTTCAAACTCAAATTGCCTTTCACGATCATAGTCTATTGGAACTACTCTATTATTTCCGTTTTCAAGCTGCCGACTTAACAATCCACTCGACCCACCTTCCATATCCTGACATAATTGAACCTGAAAGAAGTAATTAAAAGTTATTCACAATATTTTATATTCGAATATTTCTACATTAATAAATTAAAATTTTTTAAATACCTTATTTACTTCTGCAATTTCTCGTATTGTAGCTTTCTTGTGAATAGATGCTTCATCGTTACCATATCCACGATGGATATCTTCATTTGATCGTTTTTTATAAGATTTATTAATCATATCTGTGTCATTGTCTTGCAGTTCGGGTTGAATAATAACTTTATCTTTCGAATTTTGCTAAAAATTTAAGTAATTCAATTATGAAAAATGATTGAAAATATCAAGTGAATTAAAAAATTAAATTATAAAAAATGTAGAACTTATTTAATAAGATAAAATTGATATTTGTGGATAAATTATGAAAAAATAAAAATTCGTATTGAATCTTAATTGAATTACTAAGTGAGTTTCTGTTATACATGTTAACGTCACGTTATATAAGTCGTTTTAATATATCTGAATTCCTAATATTTGTTTCTTAGATTAAAAATTTAATTGTAAAGAGAAAATAATGTATTTAGTGCTTCACAAGAACACCTAATAGGATGAAAAGTCATAAAAATTCGTACTTTGATTTTAAATGCTTGATCAAGTTGATTATCAATTACACTGTTGTTATTTGCCTTCTTGTTCGAATGTAATAGTACCTCATCTTTTATATTTGCACATAGATTCCTCTGAAAATAAAAAAGGCAATTAACATATATTTTACGATTATACAGTTGACATATAATTATCAGTTTACATACCTGATCTTGCTCTCTAAGTTTCGGCGCATCAAATTGTTGAGATATCATTGACTCTTCATCATGTATTAGACAACAATTTTTTGTAGTAGTATTACTTACGACCGACTCCATCCTCATTATGTCAGATTGATTACGTAATTCCTTATGAAGTTCTTCATAAAAAACGTCATCGAAAGTTTTCTGAAAATTGTAAGTTTCTTTATTGTTTATTTTTTTCTGAAAGATTATTAATTATTGCAGTCTAAATGAACGTTATACTGAAAGCTTATCACCTGAAAATAATTGATCTAGTTAATATGAATGATAAAAATGTTTACCTTAACTGACGAGATTTCAGAGGACTCGTGAACAGAATTTTTAATTTTGATAGTTTCTTCCACATTAAATGAATCATCAGAAATATCATCATCGTGCTTAAAAATATCATTTTGACTCGAATCCCGCTGAATATCATGCTTGAAATTTTTATTCAGTATTGCTTTTCCTGAGGAGTATCCTATTCGTGCCAGCCGAAGCTTAGGTAAACCTCTATTTAATTTGTTCGAGATGTCGACCAAATTTTCATAATAACCTATGGTGAGAAATTGTAAAAATTTTTTATGTAAAAAAAAAGAAAAAAATTTGTGTACAGCAAATGTGTAATAAGATACTTGGGTATATCTATTTAACTGAGGTTATTATCACCCATTAGACAAATAATGATAGAATTATTAATATTCTCGATACTTACTGTTAACTCCAAGTAGCAAGCATTTTCTTGAAGTACGTGCATGGTTTCTTGCTACCAAATATTTTTTTAACACAGGATCAAATACTAATTTAGCCATTTTATGCTAATTAAAAAACAAATTTAAAAATAATGCGTAATAGTTTAAAAGAAAATTGCTATTCTTGAGACAAAAGAGCACTAACAATTTTTTTTTTTTTTGAATGTCTTCACCTTAATCCAATTTACTGCTCTATTGAGGTAGAAGGACATGACTTTACCGACACGATTAAATGTCAACACACAAAATGCATGAGACGTATTCGATTTCTCAAACTATTTTTGTAAATTAATTAATTTGTCATGTCATTTAATGATTATTAAGAAAGTATTATGAAAAATTAAGTTGAATGATGTTTTAAGAAATTATTTTTTAAAATGACTGCAATTTCTAGTTTTCTTTAAACATATATCTAAAAAAATAAAGCAATTTTTTTTTAATTTTTAGTGTAGAGGAATTTACATGAGTTGACATTTTTCTAAAATTGACTACAAACATGCTACGTTAAGTTCATAACATCAAATTTTGAATATAAATGTTGTTGTCTGTCCCAATATTGAAATAACATTTAGAATTTAATTAATCATGAAAAAATTTTTATTTTCCACTTCTCTTCGAGTTGATTATTCTAAATCGTTAGAGCAGATAAGATCAGATATACTCAATTTTGCTTAGATTAATTTAGTATTATTAGCTAAAAATTTACTCTGGTTATTAAAACAAGAGTCCTTATTAAAATTTTCCTCAGAATTCTAAATGAAGAATTTTATCTTCATATTATCAGGAATATTATGATGCTTTATTGATAAAAGCATAATAAACAAAATTTGCCATAAAACTACGAAATAAAAACTAGTGTTATTAAAATTCAAAAAAACATTAGGCGATTGACGTGACATATTCAGTGCAATATCAAAATTACAATTGAAAGTGATAAATTTACACACATATATTTATAATATTTTTTAAAAAAATTAATTTGCGATATTTACTATATATTGTAGTATTATAGTTGGTATATATTTTACATTTATATAAGTGATATGAATTTTAAAATCAACTGATGTCTTTATGAGATAGTTGGCATGATTTACTCCGAAATTTTGGTTCGATCAATGAAAACCTGAAAATAACTTATGAGGATGATAAAACTGCGTCAAATGCCGCCAACCGCGTGAAAATTGGTTGATCCATTCAAAAGTTATTGCGGTTTGAAAATTCCAAAAATAGTGTTCTATGAAACTTCTATCAGACTTTTGAGCTGGGAGAGCTCAAATGCATAGAAATATTATTTCTTTGAACTCAGTGAGCTTAAAATATCACATAAATTATATTTTGAGCTCAAAAATCTTTAAAATGTCATAAGTACAATTTTAAGCGCCCAGAAATCGAATTAGCGGGAAGTTGCAGGGATGGCCTTTAGGGTGAACCGTTTTTCTAATTTTTTTTTATGTGATTAAATTGTAATTTTTTTTTGTGATTATTTAGATATTATTTTTTATATCTGATCAGATTTGAATACATCTATATTCAGATCTTGTGATATTTAATGTAAACAATTTTTTAGTATATCTCGTCAGATCTAGTTATATCTGACCATGTGTTGCCAGATAGAGACAATTTAAAAATCTAACCAGATCTGGTCAGATCTAATCAGATTATTTTTTGAGTTATATCTGGTCAGATCTGATTATATTTGGTCGGATCTCGTCAGATAGAGATAATTTAAAGATCTGGCTAGATCTGCTAAGGCAGATCTGACCAGATCTTTTTATATATGGCCAGATCTAATCCGTTTTTCCCGGGTATATATAAATATTTTTTCTTGGGGCTTCGTTTCGCTCGTCTGTGTGACAACGTTTTCGATCCCGTAGAGCATGCATTATAACTTTAGGGTTGTACTTCAAATTCAAACGTACCAAAATCTCTTACTTCACATATGTATCGACAATAAATATTATGTACTTTCTAAGGTCTCAGGCAGGCAATAGCCTAGTCGGCTCGGTGGTCACTTTTCGAAAGAGTGGGACCCGGGTTCGATCCCGGCACGCACCAATATTTTTCAGTAATTATAATTTAAAAATATGTGCGTTACATTGCAAGCCTCTGGAAGTGGCTGAAGTAGCCGAGCGGCACACGTCTGACTTGGGCGATCACCCAGTTAAGCTACAACTTAATTGGGTGACCACTCTAGTCAGCGTTGGCTAGCCCGAGGGATCTCTGCACACTAGGAGAAGGGTTCTTTATCAATCACTGTAGACTTAGCCCATCTCCGACTGTACTGTCATGGGTTTTCTCTGTGGTTTCCACATGGTTCTGTTCCAACAACCTGAGAGGTGAGGTTCAGGGTCAATACGGTACAGAAAGCACAAGTCAGGCCACAGCCGCAAATATAAAGAGCAGTAAAACCAAAGCAAAATCATTAATGTTGAGAAAGGCTTGGGGTGTAAACGGGCATAAAAAGCCTATACACTAGTAACAAATAGAATAAATAATACTTTCTAAGGTCTCCAAGCTTACATATGTATAATTTTCATAAGATTAAAATTTTCTGAGTCACACAAAAAAATAAAACAGTAATGATTACTGTTTCGTACAGAATTCAGTATCGTATTCTAAAAAAATGTTCATTGACAGTAGAGAGTGTTATGTGACATACAACTGGTGAGTGCCAGTGTATATAACTCAGTTATGTGCAGGCAGCAGCCAGTAGTTTTTCCATAGCACCCTGTATTGTCTCAAGTATTTTAACCTCATTCCCCTTTCCAAATTTTTCCAAAATACTACTGAATACTAGATAAATGGTAATCAGTGCTGTTTTTTTTTCCGTATCCTTGAAAGCTTGTTGAAAATAACCTCAGTTGCAGCAACATTAAGCCGGGATTGGTTGTTGGAAGACCACATGATTGAATTTAAGTTAAGGTTTTTTCAATTATCTTTTCACGTTTAAATGTTCCGTATCTGGTGTGAAAGATAACAAAATATTGTATTAGCTCTATTTCTCTTATTGCAATCAAAGTGTCTGCTGTTATACTTCTATAAAATAATAGACAAACGTCAATAGTTTTAATCATTTTTATATATTTATGGCGATCAATCATGTATTCTTTCAGAACCAACTTTACAGCCCTACGCCCGTAGATGTCCAGATCCTAATGGACGTTACAGAAGTCAAACAAATTGCTCGGAATTTTATGTATGTCTTGCAGGAAGTCCAATTAAATTTAGTTGCCCCCGGGGACTGGTTTATAATGATGTGAGTAATAAATGTGATTTTCTTGGTTCTTATTCAATACATTTTTTTTTTATCGAAACAATATATAATTAAATTGTTATTATAAGAATAAATATTTTTATTTCAAATCAAAATATTAAAATTTATATTTTAGCGGGTCAGTGTTTGCGACTATCCATATAATGTTGATTGTCAAGGCGCAGTTACGCCAATGCCAATTTGGTCTGACCCAGTCGAATATCCAGATAATTCAGAAAGCTTTTTGAATGAGTATTTCTCAAGTAGTTCGTCTATGAATTTCGGTAATTCATCTACAATAGGGATATCAGACAGTTCTTACTCTGATGGATCTCAATTCCCAGAAACATCACGAAAGCCACCTCAAACGACTTTCCCATCTAGGCCTTATCCTCAAAACCTATGGAAATTAAGATCTTTATCAGAAATAGAGAAGCAAAGATCTATTACTATACAATCCGACAACAACAATCAATATCAGCCCGAAGATGGAGTTACTCGAGACACTACAAATTATATTCAGAAAGATCTTAAAGATGCTTCTGTAGTGGATAATCAACAGATGACTGAACATGTTATTCAGAATGAGTGGACGAAACTTTCATGTGAAAACGGGAAAATTCTACGACTGGATGACACATGTTCCAATGTTGTTGTTTGTAAAAATCATAGACCACAACTTATCACGTGTGATCCAGGTTTTACCTACGACTTACAACTAGAGGCTTGTCAAAATCACACGACTGCTGAGTGTAGTGTAATTACCTTCGGAAAATTTTATGAATAAAAAAAACACTTTTTTTTTTTAACATCACAGTTTATAAGAAAATTAACACGTTTAAAAAAAAGGAAAAAACAAAAACTAATACCTTTTTTTACAATAATTTTTCACATCATCTGTATTGTAATGTTGGTTTAAAAGTTTATTCTGCCAGTAAAAAATATAAAACCTGAAAGACACAAATAAACTAAACCCTGATTAGGGAATCTAATTTGAAATGATTAAAAACAATTTAAAACAATTCAAAATGATTTTAGATGACTAATAAAAAGATATCAATATCTTTCTATCGATAAATATTTTTTAAAAAACAAAATAAAATCCGAGATGATAAATTTTATTTCTCCTTCTGGGTTGTCTACATCTTAATATGGCCATATCAGCCCTGATCAGGCCATATCAAGTCTGATATGGCCAATTTCCATACCAGGCCTGATATGGACGATCCATATCAGGTCTGATCAGAATATTTTTTCACGGGTCCACTTTGCATGGATTGAATCATTTCAAATTAGGTTTTTTAATCAGGAGAATACAATGAGAATTTTTTTTATTGTTGCGCGCGAATTTTACACCTGAAAATGTTGTCTTTCTCGTACCAGTTCTTTGTCCTACGTCAGTGTCTCAGAGGAATTTACTTGATATTCAAGTAAAGGTTGTTCAGTAAGTTATGAATAGTGTATTACACAACAAGGGCTGAATGTTGGAGATTCCTACGCTGCGCTTTATGACGGGGGGCAAGCATTAGCATCTACAAAAAAGTTATCATTACACTTTTTTAGAGGAAATAATTTCCAATTTATAACAATGCCTCAATTATTTTCATAAATACAACACAATTACATTATATTCTTTATTTTATAATATAATATAAAAATTTATTCGCTTCGAGGGCAACAGGGCTAGCGCTCGAGGTGACAATTTTAATTACTTCGTACCCAGAAAATCCCATGTTATTTCCCATAAGACGCGACGATAAAAATCGGAACTTCACTCCCACTCACGGATATACACAGACGCGTAATACACTTACATTTTCTGTGAGTGTATTAGTTGCCCTCGGAGCGAATAATACTCACATCTAATTTTTTTTGTGCATGATGTTTTTTTTCTCGCTGGTTTCATCATCAACCCTTGAATAAAAATGAATAACAATATAACCATAATATTCATAATTATCATATTTGATCAGAATGCTTTGTTCATTATTATTTGTTCTTATTAATCTTTACTGAATATTATGTTATGTCCAAATTGGACAAACGAATTAAATTTATTTAAGTACTGGTATGTTTCAACCACAAGACCGGGAACCTAGAAGTTTAGAGGGACAGGTTTTATCAATAAAATCATGACAAATGATTTAATATATAGAATATATGGTTTAAGGCAAAATCAGTTTGAATGATTAAATTACTTACAAAATTTTATCTAATAGTAAATTAACATTCAAAAATTACATGGAAGAGTTACAAAAAGATAGAAAATACCTGAAGTTGTTTCGTTGACTCACATGGTTACTTTATTAATTATTTCTGTCACTATTAAGTCGTAAAGTATTACTTTATTCTAATGAAATTGAAAATTTAATTTGCTTAATGAATTTACTTTGTTTACTTCAAATTTGTTACTTGTTACACTGTATTTTATTTGAAATCAAAATGTTATGCACTTATTTGAACTTTACAGCTCTCTACCAGATATATTTTTCTTTGTACATTTTTCTATGATGTGCACATTTGGAGGTTGTTTTGCTCATTTATTAAATCTGATTATACAATCATCAATAACACGAATTTTCAGTATCGTTCAAAAAGTTAAAAGTATTGTTGAATATTTCAAGAGAAGTACTAAAGCTCTAGAAAAACTTCATGAATTACAAAAACAGATGGAACTGCCTTTACTGAAATTAAAAAAAGATGTTCCTACTCGATGGAACTCGACATTTGAAATGCTGGACCGAGTATATTAAGTGAAAATGCAATTATTGCCACTCTTGCCCTGATGAATAATAACTTATTTTTATCTACGGACGACTGGATTGTGATTGAGCAAGCACTACCCATACTAAAAGTTTTTTACAATGTTACCGTTGAAATTTGCGCATAAACAACCGTGAGTTTATCTAAAGTAATAGTACTTTGTGACTTATTGAGAGACCATGTCGACCAACATCTAGTATTATTGGATGCTAAAATAAGAATTGATAACCAATACGCTTTGGGAATGGTTAATAATTTATTAAAATCGCTACACTTCGAAATGAATAAACGTTTAAATGATTTTGAAAAAAATTTCCTCTATGCAGGATCAACAATTCTTGATCCCAGATTTAAGAAGAAAAAATTTTGTGACGAAATTAATTCTGAGAAAGCTATTGAAGGCTTAAAATTAAAAATTCGAAGTGAGTCATCCAGCAATTTGACTCTCACTCACGTCTCGGCTCCAACATCAACAGATATTCTTTCTTCAACAGAGCCATCATCATGTAGTACACAGCCTGTTTCTATTTGGGATAAGTTTGATCAAGAAATGGCAAGTTTAACTCCTCAAAATAGTATAGCAGCTGCAATAGTTGAACTCGATAAGTATATAAATGAACAAAACCTTAACAGACAAAAAAATCCACTTCAATAGTGGTATTCTCGTAGGAATGTTTACCCGATATTATATAAATTTGTTTTAAAACGTTTAAATTTAGTTGCTACAAGTGTACCGTGCGAGCGTATCTTTTCAAAAGCTGGCATAATTCAAAACAAAAAAAGATCTAGATTATCTGCTACTAAAGAATCTCAGCCTCTTTTTATAGGTATAGTAATTATCAAAGTTAAATCTACATTAATATTATTTCAAAATTATTTTTTCTTTTGCTGTTTTTATTTTTAATATGATCTCATAAATTTAGTATATATTAAAAATATTTTCTTATCAAATGAGTAACACATATAGATTTTAATATATACTTGTTTAAAATATAATAATATATAATATATTATTATAGTTAGTTAGTTAATGGATTTCTAGTGTACAGGCGTAATAACGCCCTTTTACACCCTAAGCCTTCACATTTCTGCTTAGTTAACCTGCCTTTATCATTGCGGCTGTGGACCGACTTGTGCCTTCTGTACCGTATTCACCCTGATCCTCATCACTCGGGTATTGGAACAGAAACATGGGGAAACCACAGAGAAAACCCATGTTAGTACAGTCGGAGCTGGGTTAAGTCTACAGTGATAGATAAGAAATTCTTCTTTATCGACCACTGGATCATTAGGCCCCTCTCCTAGTGTGCAGAGATCCCTCGCGTTAGCCAACGTTGACTAGAGTGGTCACTCATTTAAGTTGTTGCTTAAATGGGTGATCGCCCAAGTCAGACGTGTGGCTATCTCTGCCACTTCCAGAGGTTGGCAATGTAGCGTTACGCACATATTTTATTCTGAAAAATATTGGTGCGTGCTGGGATCGAACCCGGGTCCCACTCTTTCGAAAAGTGAGCACCGAGCCGACCAGGCCATTGCCAACCTTATTAATATATTATTATATTATTATTAAGAAAGTTGCAATATAATAGTAATTGTTAAAAAAGTTTGTGAACGAAATTGTGATACTAATTATATTAAAAATTTGTATTGAAATATATGTAATTTGTCACCTCTAATAAATATCCATCAGTTTGATGTCAAAATGATATCAAAAGTTTTTACGTCACCATAGGATCACAAATAAGATCAATTTTATGTCAGACTTAGATGAAATTTCGTGCCAGTTCTATAACTTTCCGGGTAGTAATATCGTCCTTCGTGAATAAGGCTTTCCATGAATATGCTCGTCCTTTAACACGATGGACTGGTCTTCGTTGATAGTGACTTAGACAATCAAGAGACTAAATTGTGAAATGGGATGTCGTTTGCTTCTTAGTTGCCCCTAATATTTCTTTAGGGCGCCACTGAATTTTTACACACAGTATCCAGAAACTGGACCAGAGCATGGGGTAATTCTACGAGGTCGTGAGAGATTGCTAGGAAGGAGTCAAAAATTATTAGAAGAGATTCATTTTCAAAACTTATTTATTCAACCAACCCTTTTACAGTAATAAAATCCCTTACAAAATAATTAAATGAACTTCACATTAAGCCTTATTCCCACCTACGCAGCGGTTTCTATCGTAGCCCCGACCCGGGCATCTATACAACGGCTTCTAAGTGTGCCCAAGAAACAGAGGAGGATACCATGAATCCCTAGGCTACACTGTAATAATAATCCATATACACCCACAATTCATTAATTTTCCATGTTAATTCCTATTACGCCCCCACCTGGGCGTCTACGCAAAGGTTTCTAACTTAACTCCTATTGCACTCCCACCTGGACGTCTATGCAAAGGATTCTAAGTGTGCCCAGGAAACAAAGAAGGATACCATGAATCCCTAGGCGGCACTGCATTGATAATCCTACCCACCCACACTATTTTATTTTTCCAAACACACGAAATATTTCCCCATAATTTTACAAATTAATTTTTCCAAGTTTATTCCCAATTTAATATAAATTAATTTCCCCATCAAAATCCGATTAACTAATTTTCTCTAAATCCATTTATTCCAATTTAAAATCTTTAACTAATTTATTGCCGTGGTCTTAATAATACAACAATAAATATTTAATAACAAGAGGTCTTCGTATCTTGAATTAATCGATTAAAATCTGATGACAGAAGTCTTAATAATCTGCCGACAATGTGTTCGTTGCGTCCCGAGATTTTACAACTGTATTTTCCCTGATTAAAAAAAAGTATTAAGACAAAGAAAAAAGTATTGAAAAGAATTGGTTTTCTAATCAATCCAATACTTTTTTCTTTGTCTCAATACTTTTTTTTATTCAGGGTTACTAAATTATTTTACTTCTGTCTAATTTATTTCGCCAGAATTTTATAAATTTATTTAACTAAATTATTTTAATTTTGTCCGAATCATCTTGTCAGAATTTATGAATTATTTTTATGTGTT